AATCTCTGATGGGCTCTTCAAGGGGTTTGTCATATTCCTGAGATATGCAACCATCAGGGTGGAGTCCTCTGTCCAGGTGACAGTCTTCTCCAGGGTGGCATCTTCAAACTCCCTGCTCGGGGATGGGACACTCAGAACATCCTTGTCCAGGCAGTGCTTTCTTTGCATGTGACAATACTCCCCTCTACTGGAGTTCATAGATTTTGCTACAAATTTGTATTAAAAGTCTAATCGGGGCTTTTAATCATTCTTATATGTAACAATGTGGCAGAATGGTGTTAGGTTTTTTTTGTTTTATTTTTTGCTGTTTGTTTAACAGATGTATGTGTCCCATGTCATCTGCTAAATGTTGTTTGGCAATATCCAAACACCGCCACCATCTTCATGAGACCATCTGTGCCCACTCACAAAGGATCATCACAACTGAGTTTACTGACCATTGACACTTCCTCATGGAAGAGGGGGCAGGGGACAGGAGAGTCATGGGACCCTCACCTGCGAATCCAGACATTCCTCCCAAACAGTTTTACTCAATTCTGCCATGACTGCATGTGACTTCAAGATCTCAAGGAGGGTCTAGAGTATATAAGCTGGGAAAGACTGGAGGATGGGGGCTCCGTCTACACAGCCGTGGGTGAGCCATCATCCACGATGGGTGCAGACCTTCAGTGTGGCTGCTTTAAGGTTACCTACACTCCTGCCTGGAACTGCTCACCCGCTGTGTGTAAGTAAACCTAATGAGTTTATTATCTACCCCAGGTGAACTTTGGTGGGATCAAACTGTGGTTTGTAGGTTTGTCATGGAAGCTGGAGGAGACTAGCTGTTACCTGGTCTCCCCTAGGGTGAATATTCTCACAACAATAGGACAATTAACACACACACACACATTTCCTTAACCTCAGTTACCGGTGTCACAAAGGACAACCAGTCTTTCCCCATCGCTCTCCACCTTATATATATGGCTCTCATGTAGCGCTCTCACGTGAGCCCAGAGCTCACCGATACAGCTGGTTAGCCAGCTTACTTGCTCTGGAAGCCTGCCCTTTTCTGAAGAGAAACAGAGAAGGACTGGATGGGGGTGGGTGGGTGGGGGTTTACAGTTGTGGAAAGGGCTGGGAGGAGAGGAGGGAGGAAAAACTGTGGGTGGGATGTAAAAACAAAACAAAACACATACACACGTACATATATATGTACATACATACATACAAACATACATAGCACTTGCTGCTTTGGTAGAGGACCTAAGTTCAACCACCTGTAACTCTAGCTCCAGAGGATCTGACACCTTCTTCTGGCCTCTAGGGTCACTTCAGCAACGCCAGCTGGTTTAAGGTTGTTCTCAATAACATAGCCATTGTTGCACACTAAGTACCTGTTGGGAGCAGTGAACCCCCAGGTCCTGCATTTCTTGTAAACAACTTGTTTTCCTCTGCTCTGAGACAGCCTGCAGCTGTTCTGAGCATGAGACCCTCAGGAGTTCCTGATGGCAGGGGAGTGATTTCTGGTGGGTTTGGCTGGGAAGTGGCTAGCCCTATATAAGCTGCACCTGAACACAATAAAGGGGCATTCTTGGGACATTCCTGTTTCAAGCATTCTGGATTCAAGGATGACCCATGTCTCTGTCTGTGTGTCTGTCTGTGTTTCAATCTCCAGCCCCTTGCCCGGTAGCACATAGAACACAGAAGGGCATGGTGCGCTACAAGTACCCACATTTCTGGGCCTCTTTCTTGGCTTTCAAATAGATCCTACAGCTATCTGCTCACAGTTTTAATTACTGTACCCTCATCATTTTGTTTTGCTTTATTCCCAGAGCCTCGGACACGCTGGGCAGGTGCTTTACCACTAAGCTACAACCCCCACCTTCTTTTGATTTATTATTATTTGGAGACAGGGCCTTACTAAATTGCCCAGACTGGTCTTGACCTCTTTCTATAGCTCAAGCAGGACTTGAACCAGTGATCCTCATGGTTCAGCCACTCCAATAGCTTGGATCGCAGGCCTGCACCACCAGGTCTGGCTGACTATCAGTCTGTTGAAGATCCTCTCCCAGCTTCTTCCTGAAGGCATCATCGTTGGTACCCAGTTGGGGAATAAGAAAATATTTCCCGGGGGCTGGAGAGATGGCTCAGCGGTTAAGAGCACTGGCTGCTCTTCCAGAGGTCTTGAGTTCAATTCCCCAACACCCACATGGTGGCTCACAACCATTTATAATGAGATCTGGTGCCCTCTCTGGCCTGCAAGCACACATGGAAGGAATGTTGTATACATAATAAACAAAAACAAAAAAAGAAAATATTTCCCTATGCCCTCTAGGAAGAAAACTCTCGAAGCCTCACTTCTTAGAGTAGAATGAAAAGAGATCTTTAAAGTCACAGGATCAAATGTAGGCTTTGCCTCTCACTCACGCTTTTGCCTTGGTAAGTCAACTGACCCCATCAGGTCCATCTTATCCACAGGCTGATGTAGCAGATGTGAGAATTAGAGCATGCACTATTCCTGACGGTGGATATGGTGTCTGTTACATATCAACTATTCTGTTTCCCTCTGTACCGCAGCACAAACACAAACCCAAGCCTCACTATATAAATCAATGCTCATTTCAGCAAGGCCCCGAGTGGAAGACGCACAGGTTGGAGGGAGGCAGACCTGTGTTTGTCCTCCTAATACACCCTCCCCAGTCTCAGAGCAGCCTACGGGTTCTCACGGCCACTTACCAGCGGGGAGCATTCATTAAAGTTCTTCCCAGTATCTCTCTGGGCTTCTGTTCTACCGCCATCACGTGGGAATGACAGTTCTCACTGTGTGTGGTTATTGCAACGTTAAATGTGCAAGAACTGCAGAGGGCATGCATCTGGCACACGCGGAGTGGTTCGTGTGTGTAAGTACAGAAAGTGCTCAATTGCTTTGTACATCTGCCTCTTCAGGTCCGCAGAAGTTACTATTGTGACTACAGAAGAGAAGGGCCCACCCTCTAGCACCCACGGATCTTTTAGGGCTCCTGTCCCTGTGAGACCCACAGATCCTTCTGTATCCACCTCCTCGGGTCTAAGCCTCGTCTTTGGAGCCCACTTGTACACCTCACACTCCCTTCCCTGGATTTGTTCCCCTCCCTGTATTAAAATCTTTTTTCAAAACTGACAGTCAAATTCTCTATGCTTAGGAGGCACCGTGATGCAAGGAGAGGCAGAAGATGGGCAGGATATAGTGGGAACTTAGAAGCCAGCTCTGTGTGTTAGACTACAGTGTCTGGTTGTTGGGCCAGTGTGCACCAATGGACAAGTCAGAAAATCACCCTCAGTGGGTGGAGCAGAGAGTGTGCTCCAGGGAGCGAACCTGGGTGCAAAGACCGGCTGCAGTGAGATGGGACAGGAACCACAGGAGCAGCGGACCAGAAAGAAATAGAAACCAGTGCCATTTGGATACTGTAGCAGAAGGCAGGACAGGAGTTGTGAGTCATGTACCTGAGCTAGAAGAATAGACCGGATAGCTCTCTTTGTTCCTTTTCCATAGTGCCTGCTCTCGACATAAATGTCTTCTCTGAGAGGCCTGTCCTGGCTATCCGATCCACGATGGCAAACTCTTCCGAAACAGCAGGTCCTCGTGTGCACAGGCCAGCCTCAGGTGCCATGAGGCCAAAGGCAGATACAGGCAGAGGAAGAATCAGAGAGCACAGTTTATTGGCAGACTTACCAATAAATGTATTAGTTTTGGGAGACAGCAAAACCAACTGGATCCCACCATATGAGTCAGAAAGAGAGTCACATATACGGGTTAGGGTGGAGTGACTGGACCCTGACTGGGATGTACGTAACTCATCTTAAGTCCTTATCAAAGAGCACAGATTGGAGCCTGGATCTGCTTGGAAGGCCCCATGCGTCCATCATTCTCAGGATTTGGTCTACCTACAGTCTGAGGCAAGACCGCACACCAAAAAAATGGACTGTGGATTCTCCAGGACAGACATGACAGTCCAGATTCGAGATGACTGGGGTTGTATCAAGCAGAATCCATACCTACAGAGCCTACGCCTGCCTTCTGCCTCCGTTTTTGCAGTTATTTTAATGTGTCTCTCCCTCAGACTACAACCTGAATGAGAACAGGAGCAAGATCGTTTTAAACGAAAGCCCACCATGGGGCCTAGAACACAACAGACAAGCGAGAAAGAAATGTATAAAAATAAATGAACGTGGCCCAGCCAGGAGGCTGGTAGGGAGAAGACTCGTAGGCTATGCATTTGCAGCATGGCCTGAAGCTTTTCAATAGGAAGCATGGGCTGGGTCTCTGGCAGGTAGTCCTCTCGGGGTAGAACCCTTGGCAAGAGCCAGAAGGTACCTAGGCAGGGTCAAACAGAATGTCTGGCCAGAGAATTACCCAGAGTGCTCCGTGTGGGCTTGTACACTTTCGTGTACAAACTTGAGCGGGTGCATGGGCATACACGTGTGGTTGTGGAAGCCAGAGGATGCTTTGGGTGTTCAGCGCCAGTCACCTCATTTTTTTTGTTTTTGTTTGGCTTTGGAGATAGGGTCACTGGCTGGCCCGGATTCACCATGTAAGATGGACTGGCAAGCCAGCCAGCTCCAGGGATCCTCCTGTCTCCACCTCTCCCCAACGCTGTGCTTACAATCGTTTCCCCACGCATTCTAGACGTGAACTCAAGTTCTCCAACGCTTTGCCATCTGAGCTATCCCCAGTCCTAGGGGTCCTCATTCAGCATGCAAACTCAGACCCCTCAGTTCCTTGCCCAGGTACCAGAGTGCCCAGCACGGTCCCTGGAGGGGCTGAAACGGAGAGCATTCAGATCAAGAGAAGCGCGTACGTAGTGGGCAAAGAGGCAAGGGGCTGAGAGGGTGACTCTGGGGACAAGTGTTAGGCTGCAGGCCAAGCGGGCGAGTCAGGTGCCCTGAGACTACTTGTCCGTCCCGTCCCGTCCCCCCCCCCCTCCCGTCCCGCCCCCCCTCCCGTCCCCCCCCCCCCCCCCCCCCCCCACACACATACACACCTCCCTCGGGACCTTTAGCTGCACTTGGCTTCCAGCCGGAGGGAACTCCTTCGCCCCGCCGCACAGCTTTGCCTCCCGATTGGCCCCTGTGTAATCCATCGTCCCACTTTGACCAATAAGACCGGCGAGGTACAGGAAGCCGGAACAGGAAGTGAGGCAGGGTCCGGCGGCGTCCCCCTGCTAGCAGCTGTTGCAGGTTATCATGAGATGCCTTGGGCCAGGTTTGAGGGCTCGGCGCCTGTTCCCACCCCGCTACCCGCTGCAGCCGCCCGGGCCTCGGGCGCCTCGGCTGTGCAGCGGGCTCACGGCTGGCGCCATGGACGAGCTGCTACGGCGAGCCGTGCCACCCACGCCGGCCTATGAGCTGCGCGAGAAGACGCCGGCGCCCGCCGAGGCGCAGTGCGCCGACTTCGTGAGCTTCTACGGCGGCCTGGGCGAGACGGCCCAGCGCGCCGAGCTGCTCAGTCGCCTAGCGCAGGGCTTCGGCGTGGACCACGGCCAGGTGGCAGAGCAGAGCGCCGGGGTGCTGCAGCTGCGCCAGCAGTCGCGCGAGGTGGCCGTCCTGCTGCAGGCAGAGGACCGGCTGCGCTATGCGCTCGTGCCGCGCTACCGCGGCCTCTTCCATCACATCAGCAATCTGGACGGCGGCGTGCGCTTCCTGGTGCAGCTGCGGGCCGATCTGCTGGAGGCGCAGGCCCTCAAGCTGGTGGAGGGGCCGCACGTCCGGGTAAGGCCCCACCCGGGGCCCCCGCCTCCACCCCGGGGCCCTGCCCCTTCCTCCCCACTTCCTAGGTCCTTATCCAAGCCCCCTGCTGCCCTCCGGCTCCTCCTTGCCGGCAGCAGGTACACAGTGCTTATGGCGTGGTACATGGCATTGGTGCTGTCTAGTGGGTACCCATTGCGCTTTACTCCAAAATAGCTCTCTTTTAAACTGCGCTGTACCTGAACAAGGATGGAGTGCGGCCTTGGGCAGAGCTGGAGCGCCTACCCCGAGCGCGGCACCGTCCTGACAGGTTACAGGAACTGTACCTAGATAGCCAGAAGTGAAGGTCACCACCGTCTTAGTTTCCAAAGCCTCCAGCCTTCTTTCTGTGCGCGACTCTGGGTAGGAGATTTGCTTCCGAGCTCAGCCCTAGACGCAGTGATTCTGAGTTTACTTTTTAGTACGTGAACTAATGAGCTGCTTACCTAGCGGGATCACGTAGCTTGCAAGTAACGGAGGTTTCTTAAGTATTGTCACCTGTCACCAGAAGAACTAGAGTATGGATGTGTACACACATGAGCCAGAGGTCAACCTGGAGTGTTGTCCTCAGAAGCTGTCCGCCTTAGTTTCTGAGACAGGCTCTTACTGAGACTCGGGACTCGCCAGTTAGATTAGGTGGGCTGCTCAGTAAGCCATTCTGCCTGTTAGGCAGTGGAGTACCTCCTGAGCACTCTAGCAAATTCTGTGTTCTAATAAGTTCGGTGTTCATTGTGTGCTTTTTCTGTGTTAGAGCATAGTTTATTTTTTGACAGGGACAGAGATTTCAGTATATCAAGTGCCCCCCACCCCACCCCCGTGGCCTGTGAGCTGGAACTGTACTCTTTCTTGGCCCCACCCTTTTTTCCCTGACAGTAGTTTTGCCTACCCTCCCCCCCAGCTCTGGACTCTCCACAAGGCAAAGCAACTTTCCCTCACATACCCCAAAGAGGTCACTCTGGAAAGCCAAGCATCTCAGAAGAGGCCGGACTTTCCACTGAGAGAAGAGCAGCCTCCACGATCAGTGGGGCTGAGTGCAGCAAGCGGTGGGGAGCGGGGGGCTGACAGGCTGATGGTTCCGGGGGCTCTCGGGCATCTCAGCTTCTCCTGTGACTCATAACTGCTGTGTTAATGAGCAGAAAGCACAAGAGACTGTTTCTGTTGCCTATTGTGTGACCTGGTGACCTGGACGCTCGCTGTGGTTACTTCCGTCCAGAACAGCAGTTATAGAAGCAGACAATGAGACTTCTCACCTTTAGCCTACATCCCCTGTTCTTGAGTCCAGCATCACATGCCACAGCTGTCAGCAGCCCAAAATAGAAGAGGCTTCCAGAGGAGAGGCGTCATCAGTGGAGCCAGGGTTCCTGGCCTTTTCTTGCCATGTCAAAATGTAGTCCATCATGCCTGCACAGCCAGCCTGTTCCAGCCCCACAGTGAGGGCACAGAAGCAGCTCCCCAAGCCCCAGAGGATGGGTGTAAGATGATGTGTTTGCATTTTTCCCTAGGGATAGTTAGTGTTTCTTAGCTTACTCTTTAAAAATGGAGATCTTGAGACCTTGGAAGGATGATCAGGATCAGGTGCAGAGTATGCAAAAGCTTCTTTGTTCTGTTTTGGAGACCAGACTGGCCTCAGAGTCATAGAGATCAACCTGCCTCTGCCTCCTGAGTGCTGGTTTGTACCCCCACTATGCCAAGCTTTTTTTTTAAATCCGTGTGTATGTGTCGTGGGTACAAATGCACATAGCATCAGTGGTCAGCCACGGGCACTGGCCCTTGTCTTCCAGCTGCTCACTGCTGCAAATGCTACAGGCCTGCAGCTTCCAGGTGTCCTCTTGACTCTCCTTAGGAGTGCTGTGTCCATGTGTCCAGCTTCCACTCAGGTTCTGGAGATCCACCCAGCTTTGTATTTTCCAGTGGGAGGTGCTTTACCCATTAAGCAATCTTGAGCCAGAGCATGAGGGTTCATAAAAGGCTATCCTGTGTTGCCAGCCCGTGGCTCTCCAGTCACCATTCTCAACACCTTCTCTGTCTTCTTGGGGATTAGTGTGGGGGTGAATGCTTTGACTAAGGTGAACTTTGCCCTGCAGAGCCTTCACCCGAGTTTGTTTTTGTTTTTTTTTTAAATGAGATTGAGAACATAAGGTGAAGGACCTGCATAGCTTCCACCCAGCCGCTTTCCCAGTTTGCATCCTTCCCAGGACGGGCAACTCTCATGCACCCTGCAAGCAGTCCCTTCCAGCTCCTTCACCCTCTCCCATGAGCCTGAGAGTTGTGTGCAGCCATTCAAAACCCTCTCTCACATTGAACAAGGTTCCTTGCTCCTGGGTTTGTACTCTGCACCCTGTAAAGCTGCCCAGGACAAAACTATGCCTCCTCTGTGTCCTGTTACTTAACTGCATGAATAGAAAAACCATATTTATGTAAAGACTTCTTTAGATGTGGAAGGTCGCTGCAGTGAACCAGAAGCACTGTCTGTTACTGTTCCATGTATCACTGTGGAATTCACCTGTGAGTAATAGACCCACAGTCACAGAGGTCTGTGTAGCAGAGAAGTTGGTCACTTGGGTTGAAGTCTGGAGTGAAGTAGCCCCAGGCTAACCCTGCTCTTCAGTGTCCTGGATTGGGGGTGTACTGTTCTCTGAAAAACCATCACAGTCACCTCCTGGCCCAGTGTGACTGCTCTAAAATTTTCTATCCCAGCAACTACCAGCTCACAGTGGAAAAGACGAAAGAAAAAAGTCAGCAAAAGCCATACTCCTGATGTCATTGAGGCTCCCAAAGCCATTACAAGACCCCTCTGCTTACAGCTCGTTGACCAGAAGTCAGGCACATGGTCTCTGCCATGTGCAGTACAATCTTGATTCTACAGCCATGAGCCCGGCTGGAAGCATGGGTATGGACTCTGAGACATCAGGATATAGAAGTGTATGTCTGTCAGTGGGTGGATAGACTCCTGGGGGGACACTGGCTTCTCTGAGGCTGCCTTCCTCTCTCTTGCGCAGGAAATGAATGGAGTACTGAAGAGCATGCTGTCCGAGTGGTTCTCCTCTGGCTTCCTGAGCCTGGAGCGGGTCACCTGGCACTCCCCCTGTGAAGTGCTTCAGAAGATCAGTGAGTGAGTATGGCGGCCGTGGCCTGCACAGCTTTTACTTCACCTGATCTATGAACACACTAGGTGTGGGTGCTGGGCTATTATCACAGGGAGGGTGGAGATTGGGGTGCACCCCAGAAAGACCCTAGCCAGTCTGTTAGTCACCCAGGGCCTCGTCACCAAAGCTGTAGGGACTAATTGGAACAAGTCTTGGCCTGAGAGGTCAGAATGGTGCTATTTCATCCAGTTATTAAAATACCCCACCAGGATAATCACGTCACGATCAGGGCTCAGTGCAACACATACCCTGTTGTCCTGCCCACACTCCACATTGGCCCATATAATTGAGGGCCGGAAAGCATCCTGGGATGTAAACCTTGGTAGTGTCTACTATTCTTCCCCATGCTGGAAGTAGGAATATGTGGGATAAGGCTGGAGACATGTGTATCCACCAGTGTTGGCAGCATGGGAATTTATTTCCAAAGTAAAGATAATAAACAGTGTTCAGCAGCAAGAAATTCCAGTAGGTTTGCCTGAAACTGCTGCATAAATGCACCTGAGAACCCCACAAAGTCCTCTGAAAGCAGGTGTTGAATGGGCAGCACATCCTGTCATCCCAGTCCATGGAAGGCTGGAGCAGGAAGACCATCTGAAGCTCAATGTCAGCCTCTGTGATAGTATCAGACCAGCCAGGGCTGTAAAGCAAGACCCTGTATCAGGACAGACAACGTGGTGTTAGACACAGAGCAGAAGTGGCTAAGGAGATTGGACTCAGCCCTTGATAGTTTATAATTCTCGCATCTGTCTAATCTCTGTATTGCTTGGTCAGGTGTGAGGCTGTGCATCCTGTGAAAAACTGGATGGACTTGAAGCGGCGTGTGGGGCCATACCGGAGATGCTACTTCTTCTCCCATTGCTCCACCCCTGGGGAGCCCCTGATTGTCCTGCATGTAGCTTTGATGGGTGACATTTCCAACAACATCCAGGTACTTACAGGTGGTCCTTTCAAGACAAAATAGGCCTATCACTGTGGGGTGTGTGTGTGTGTGAGTGAGTGTGTGTGTGTTGGAAGTCTTCTACTACATAGGTCTCAGTGACTAAATTTAGGCAGCAAGTGCCTTTACCACTGATCCTTCTTGTCTGACCCCAGCATTTTTTTGTCTATGTGTGTTGTTTTTCAAATAGGTCTCACTATGTAGATCAGGCTAGTTTCAAACTCACAGAGATCTGCCTGCTTCTGCCTCCCAAATCCTACATGACCATGCCCAGTTTCCAAGTATGTTTTAGATGGTTT